CTGGGATGATTGATTTTTATGATTCACTTTTTGAAGTACACATAACTCTCGGATTTAAATCCGAAGTTTCCGCATTTATTTCGTAATCATAACACATTGTCACTTTTCAAATAACTAACTAACTTTATTTTTCATGTGGAAGATCATTTCCTTATATTATTTATCATCATGCACATGAAAAAAAGCAATCTCTCTTTGTAATTACGTTGGTTATTTTTAAGTAATTATGTCACAATGTTAGGGTATCATCAAACTTTCGTTCTCTTCTATATCTATGTATTCATTGTATAACTAATATTTTAGCACAATTAGGGCGATCATTGGTTGTTGAGATGGACATAACTGATGAGTATTTCAAAATAAGGGATCATAACAGAAGCTAATCCGGTAATTTTTTTTCGTGACCAGCATCCAGATTGAACCAATAATTGGTATCCGAATCTAAATACCGACTCGAACCGAGTTGTTTACCCTGTTACACAAGACTTTACTCCTAAATAATTTATCTATGAGTTTTCTTTAGTAACATATGTGTTCATAAAGTTTCGGTTTATCAATATTCTACAGTTCTTTTAAGTTTTAATAACTATTACTTCAGTTATTCGTTTCTGTATTATTTATTTATAATATCAAATAATAATAAAAACTTTTGTGAAACATGATCTAAAATGAGTGTAGAGGTAGAAATTTTGGCCCATGCTCCACAGATATTATAACTATTTTAATAACGAGGTATCAGAGACGTCTTAGACATGTTTGAAACTGTTTATTACAGACTGTGATAGACCCGGCGAAGAAATATTCCTCAAAATAGATAGAATAAAACCATCTTCTTATGATTAGCAACAATAGTTACATCGTATTTCACTATTTAATCTTCTCGAGATTGCACTAACAAATTTGTCTTCTATTTTGAATCCCGGCTGAATCGTTTTGATATCTAACAGTTAATGTAAAAAATACGTTCATATCATATTCGACAGATTCATATTTCATTAATTAGCTTAAATACCTTTAAATCTTTTTGAACTAAACTTTCCATACATCGTTCCATATTTCGTTTAAATCGTGGATGATATCGATAGAGTGATCCATCAACGCCAATAGTAATATTAGGTTTTTCCATACGATTAATTAATACTGCCAAACCTTGGAAAATAAATTTTCAAAATTTAATTTCATTTATATAATAAACTAATACTTACCAGCACCAGCTAATCGTGCAGCTCTTTTAGAAACTTGTCGACAAATATGTTGAACAATAACACAATCATCAAATGTTGGATTTCGAATACCAATATCTTCAAGTACTCGACGTGTATTTGAAAATTTAATACCTAAAATATAATTGATTATTTTTAATTAAATAATTTTTTAATATACCTTCATCAGTTTCAACAATAGAAACAAATTTTGTATAAAAACCACCTCGATTATAAAGTGGAGTTTTATAATCTCCATATGTATCACGATGACCAAGAAAAAGTAATTCTTGTTGAAGTAAATCAAGTATTATAAGTCGTACTATTTCACCCATATACATTCCTGAAATCATTTTTTCAAAACTATAAAACAAAAGAAAATGAATTATATGAAAAAAATAAAAACAAAAGATTTCAAATAATTTACGTTTGGTTGCCAGGATTAATTGATGATAGATCAACTTCTTCATCATATTTTGTACGTATATGATGTAAACAACCATTATCACCAAATGCTCCCCATTCCATATTAATAATAACTTGTTTTGGTTCATTATAATCACCATCCCATGTACCAACTCTATCTAAACTTTCAATATAACATGCATTTGTTCCTGTACCTAATGGTTGTTTACATCATATACGTACAAAATATGATGAAGAAGTTGATCTATCATCAATTAATCCATATGTATCACGATGACCAAGAAAAAGTAATTCTTGTTG